GCTATTGAGAGGGGTGCAGCTGGGGTGGGGGTCTAAATATGATCAAAAAATTATATGAAATTCATACAAATTCAATAAAAAAGAAGAAAGGCAATTTTCTTTGCAAAATTTTGATAGTGAAGCCAAGATAGAAGAAGAATTATCAGCAAAAATCTTTTCAATTGTAAGAATGGATTTAAGCATCAGTATGCTTTCATGATCTGTAAAGCCTTACCTAGCCTAATCAATGTGCTTGTTTAAAAAATTCAAATACTGTGCATTTATAACCTGTAAGAATCAAATAAGCAAATTCTGTGCCTGAAATGACTAGACATAATATCAATATTTAAAGTACATCCTAATACCCCTTTTCTCTCTTTTTTATTTTTATTTTTGTGTTTGTTGATTTTTACATCTATCATCTATCTATCTACCTATTTTGTATGTATAATTGTACTTGTGTCATGGCACATAAGTGGAAATCAGAGACTGACTTTCAGGATTAGTTTCTCTCATTCCACTATGTGGATTTTAGGGATAAAACTCAAGTCATCAGTCTTGGTGGCAAGTGCTCTTGACCACTAAGCCATTTGCAAGTCCCCTGCACATCTTAATTTTCCAACTAATTCACGTTCTTCATCTTAGAATCAGAAAATTGTGTTACCACATTGCTCAAATAAACAGTTTCACCAGGGGTATACCAGTTCTTGGAACCTTGTAAGCATTTATAAGAATTTATATTTATTGGAAGCAAATGTCTTCAAAAAGTAATCTATTAAGCATCAAATCTTTTGAATATTTCATAATTTGAAAATAATTCACTTTCACTTGGTCACTGCCTTTCTCCAAACCTCTAAAAAAGCATATGAAATAGTAATGTTAAAGACTGTCTCAGTCACCATGAACTTTCCCTATGCCTGAGAAAGTGCTCTTCACAAATGTGATTCAACAGGGCAAATGCAAATCAGTAAACATATGACAGGAAAATCACAAATGCAAATGCAAACTAATTGGAGCTTAATGTCAATTACACACTTAGAGTAGTTCTGGCAACTGCCAAGCTTTCCCTTCAATTAAATGGTAAATGTGAAGATGCAAATGAGAACTAGAATCCAGGATCTCACAATGAAATAAGTTTGGGGAAAATTCAAATCTCAAAGCAGAATCATTTAACCCCAGTCCCCATGGCCAACTGTACCTGTATCAGTGTGACAAAGGCAAGGTGGGTTGAACTTACTCTGCCAACACTTTTTAGAACACTTAATACTCAGTGGAGATAAATTCTAGCTTATAGAATATATATATAATATATATGAAGCAAATTTTAAAGAAACTTCTTAAGACATATTCATAGGATACATGTATTCTGAGTTGTAAGTAAAAATGCAGTTTCAATAATGAGAATTTTTTGTAAAATATGAAATTTATATAATTTCAATGTTAATGTTTTTGTTAACAAAAATTTTTAGATATTAGCTCATTCTTTTTTTAATCCTAAAACACTCTGGAAAGTTCAGAGAAAAGACTGTAGATCAGGATAAGTTGAGAATAAGGAAGAGAATATGCTGGTTGTTGTATATTCAAATCTTGGTTATTATGGTAAAGATATCTTAAATATAAAATGATTTCCACTGCTGCACTAAAGTATGAAGTATATGAATATGTATTTTACATTATAGCTTCTTATAATAGAGTAAAAACAATAGCTATCAAGATTCGTTCAAAATAAAATACCCAAAAGTTAGTACATATTTCAAAAATTTTAGTCTATCATACATAATAAGTTGACAGGTACATATTATCTTGAGATATATACATATATATATATATATATATGTGTGTGTGTGTGTGTGTATGCAAACCACTGCTCCTAATTGGTTAAAGCAGCTTTAAATCAGAGAGAACACTTAGTGAAACAAAATTGCAACTAAATCAAAACTATGCACATACTTGGCATTTGTAACTGTGTCTTAATATTTAACTTAGGCTAAGCTATAAACTCTGCAGCTCTCATTTTTCCTTCCTTCACCTCAGGATCATGACACTCACCTGGAGTTTGGAATTCTGCTGAAGTTTCATTACCTGCACTCAGAAATGGCGATGCTTTCAGGAGGCCAAGCAGGGGAAGGGAAACACCAAAGCTATGCTTTTTAAACAAAAGCATCAAGACTGAAACCAGGCAGAATGAAAACCAGGTTCATGATATGATTCATCAAGCCAGGATTTTAGAAGAGACGGAGATGGAATCAGCCTTGCTATAATTGGGTGAGCTGTGAAATGTAGAAGATGGGTGGGGATGATGGCATTTCAGAAGAAAGTCGGATGGATAGTATTGATATTTGCTTTCAATAGCCTGGGGGTTACATTACATACCATGGAGGACCCTGTGGAGCTCTAAAAAGCATAATCAGCATTGACATTGAATGGCAAATCAGGCTATTTGCTATTTGTATTTCTGGTGCTCTTATAGATTTCTCTCTTTAACATCTTGTTGAAATTATTTCTTCATAGAATATATAGATATATATGCATATATACATGTATATGTGATAAAGCACATTACATGGACAGACATTTGATCTGTTAGTGGAAACTAACATTTGTTGAGTGTTCACTGTGACCTATCCATGATACATTATATCTTGTTTCTCATATAATAGCTTATTACATTTTACATCTGGTACAATTTCAGTAAGGTTATATGAACACTTCTTTTAATTAAGGAAGGAAGCTCATATTAACATGGTGATTATTCCCCCTGCTGGTACCTAAAAGTTTCTGAACTATCTATCTGGTGAAGGAACAGGATGATAACAGGGCAGGGATCAATTGTACCCTACTGTTAACAGCTCTGCTTTGCCAATCCTAAAGCTAACATTCTACAAGGCAACAAAAACATGGTACATTTTAGGGAAAAGGATGGCTCTTAAAACATAGTATCCCTGAAGTTGCTGTTCAAGACTAATAAGGGAATTTTTTTTTGTAGAACAAAGAGTTGAACACAAGGAGGGAAAAATTGGGGAATTTTTGTTGTTATTGTTTATTTTAATATAATATTTTTTATTTGTTCTCTGAGAAATTCATGCATGCATATAATGTATTTCTATAATATTCCTCTTCCACCACCACCCCCAACTCCTCTGGGAAACTTCCTTTTTTAAAAATATTTTATTATTTTGTGTGTACAAATGTAATGCCTGCATGTAGGTAGGTGCACTCATGTCATGCAATGGCTGCAAAGGACAGAAGAGGGAGATCCCCTGGATCTGGGGCTACAGAATTTGTCAGTCACCATGTGGGTGCTGTGAGTTGAACCTGGGTCCTTTGCAAGAACAGCCAGTACTCTTAACTGCTGAGCCATCTCTCCAGCCCCCTCTTTTTAAAAATAACTCAAAGTCCAACTAGTGCAGCCCATACATGGCATGGGTATGGGGCCATGCACTGGAGCATAGTCAACTGGCCATGGACCACACTCCTAAGGAAAACCGACTCTCACTCCCCTAGAAGCCATCAACTATCAATAGCTCCTCAGAAAATGATGGACCTTGTGTGTCCCCCTTCCGTGCTTGAATAGACTGGCTTCATCTTGTGCAGCTCTTGTGTGCACACCTAGATATGGCAATGCCTTCTGGAGGCCAAACTACTGTGAATTCATGTGTGCAATGATGCTATTATGTCCAGAAGACACTGATACCTCCTGAAAGTGGTTGGTTAACTTTATCACATTCATGTCACGATTGCACCCTTGAGCATATCTTGCCAGACCAAATTTCACTATTGCTTGCAAAGTATATGTATATATACATTTTCTGAGGCACTATTGACAATTGATGGCTGCTAGGGGAGTGAGAGTCAGTTTTCTTTAGGAGTGTGGTCCCTGGCAGGTTGACTATGCTCCAGTGAATGGCCCCATACCCATGCCATGTATGGGCTACACTACTTGGACTCTGTGAATTGTTTTTAAAAAGAGGGGGCTTGAGAGAAGGCTCAGCAATTAAGAGTACTGGCTGTTCTTGAAGAGGACCTGCGTTCAATTCACAGCACATATGTGTGTGTTGTGAATATATATATATATATATATATATATGGAAGTTTATGAAATAGTAGATTTCCATATGGCCTTTTCAAATATCCTAAGTGTTCGTTATCCCTCCTTTTACCCTTCTTCTGCCCTCTCCTCTCATCAGGAGGGAACATTTCATTTAAGTTTTTCAGGATTATTATGAGTTAAAAAGTATTCTGGATATATAGAGATTAGAAATGCATGTGCTAACATCTTAGTGTTAATTACATTAAAAATGAATTTTTCTGTATGAAACTGTGTATTTTAATAATGAAATGGAGATCTTTTTAAAGGTTTAAAACCTCATTCAATTTTATGTTTTATGGGGTTCGTACTGAGTACAATATTGTACAACTGTATTAATTCAGCTGTAAACCTAAAAATTTATAGCCAATTTTGAAACAGATGCATCTTAGCTCTGGAAATTGTTATTGAATATGTCAATGCTATTGTAATGAAATTCTTCTTCTAATTATGTGGTTATTAAATAAATAATTTTTTAAAAAAGCATTCTGGGAAAAGAGCTACATAGGCTGCAGCAAGCCACATTTGAGATTGGACATTTGCAGCAATAAATAGAAGTAGGCATAGGCATTGGGGCTGTTGTGCTTGGCATTAGGAAAAAAGAAAAGACAAAACGGCAGTAGACTAAGTGAAGCATCTTTGCAATCAGATTTCTCTAAGATTGACTCAGAGATCAAGGTAGTTCATATACAAAAACTCTTCTGAGGATGCAATTGGAAGACCTAATCAGCATGCAAATCTTTATATTTGCATTCTCAGAGTTTCACAGAGTGAGTACCAGATTCAAAGAGTTGTTCCTCTTATTTTCTTCCTTAGAGAAAAGCATGCATGAGGTTCCACCACAATCCAGGGGCTGGCAGCAGGTCAGACTTCTCCTGTGTTCAAGACCATCAAGAAGGTCCTAAGATCATCTAAGGCAGTGCTGAGATTCATCATGGCCTTCCCTTTGACAGTTGTTTCTCATATGATCATCATGACAGCAGAGTTTTTCATAGGGATTACAGTGAATGGATTTCTTATCATTGTAAACTGTTATGACTTGGTCAAGAGCAGAAAGATCCTACTGTTGCAAATCCTCTTGATATGCACAGGGCTGTCCAGATTTGGCCTGCAGATGATGTTGATGACACAGAGCTTCTTCTCTGTGTTTTTTCCATTTGCTTATGAGACAAATATTTATGGTCCAAAGATGATGTTTCTTTGGATGTTTTTCAGCTCTGTAGGGCTCTGGTTTGCCACTTGCCTTTCTGTATTTTACTGCCTCAAGGTTTCAAACTTCACTCAGCACTGGTTTCTTTGGCTGAAATTCAGGATTTCAAAATGTATATTTTGGCTGCTTCTGGGCAGCTTGCTGGCCTCTGTGGGCACTGCAACTGTATGTATTAAGGTGGGTCTCCCTTTAATCGAAGATAGTTATGTCCTGAGAAACCCAGCAGTAAATGTTAGTAAAGTCAATTTGTTGAAAAATGATGAGTTGCTTCTTGTTAACTTGACCTTGGTACTCCCTCTCAGCGTGTTTGTGATGTGTACCTCTATGTTATGCATCTCTCTTTACAAACACAAGTACCAGGTGCAAAACAGGCTTCATGAGTTTTCAAATGCCAGAACAGAAGCCCATATGAATGCATTAAAAATGGTGACCACATTTTTTTGCTTCTTTATTTCTTACTTTGCTGCCTTCATGGCAAATATGACATTTAGAATTCCACACAGAAGTCATCGTTTCTTTGTGGTAAAGGAAGTCATGGCAGCATATCCTGCCGGCCATTCAATCATAATCATCTTGAGTAATTCTAAGCTCAAAGACTCGTTCAGGACAATGATCTGCCTCATGAAGAAACAGTGAAGAGGAGGCCCAATGGGGAATGTCTGTTTCCCTGATATGGATCCAGTGGACTCTTGCGTTTGGCCTGCTTACTCTCTTTCTCTCTGGCAGTTTCCTGCCAGGCCTCATCCCAGGACATGTGAGACATTAGTTACAATGTTGGATGGATAGGATATCTTCCATGTGTTGTGTACTTAAAATACTGTGATATCAATACATTTTCATAACTAGTACTTGCCTGGAGTACCAGTTCTGTTTTAGAAATTACAGCCAAAGTTCTAAGAGTTCATTGGGCAAATCAGTAATGGAGTTCTATTGTCTGTCTTTCTGGGTCATTGGGAAACTTCTGGTTGAGATAAGAGAAAACAACTGAATTTAGTTGGCGACTTGACACATCAGAAAAATTTGGTTGTTCATGTGCTGGATAGGTTTAGTTGTCAACTTGACACACCTGGGTAGAGGGAGCCTCAGTTGGGGAATTTCCTCCATTGGACTGACCTGTGGCCATGTCTGTGGGCTATTTTCTCAATTCTTGAGAGATGTGGTAGGGCCCTGCACACTCTGAGTGGTACCACCCCTGGGCAGGTGGTCCTGTACTGTATAAGAAAGCAGGTTGAACATGGGCTGGGGGACCAAGTCAGTAAGCAGCGCTCCTCCATGGCCTGCGCTTCAGTTCCTGCCTCCAGGTTCCTGCCATGAGTTCCTACCTTGTGCTCCTTCAATGATAAGCTGTGACCCAGGAGATGTAAACTAAATAAACCCTTTCCTACCCAAGTTGGTATTGGTCAGAGTGTTTTGTCCCAGCAATTGAAAACAAACTAAGACAGTGCACTTCAGTTTATTTTTCAAAAAGATTCATTAGTAAAATAAAAATGGTGCTGTAGCAGTTCATGTTATAGTGATGCCCCAGCTCCCGAGGGCAGCAGGGTGCCGTCTCATATGGGTCTGACTTCAAGTGGGTAGATGAAAGGGTCAGATACCATTTAAGCTTGCCTGCGTAAACACACATGAGAAATTCATCATCTCTTTTATTTACTTGTTTTTAGCAAAATGAAGAAATATTTTTTCAATTTCCTGAAATATGAAGCTCATTGCCACAGAGAGAATGTGGGGGAGGTTGCTGACTGAAAAGTCTCAGCAAGGAAACTTTCTGGGACCAGAAGTTGTGCCCAAGTAGGAGTCTGGCCTGGAGTATGGCAGCAGAAAGTGGCTTCAGGAGCTATAGTTAAAATTTGGAGATTATTACCACATTTGAATTCATCCTGCTCTTTAAGGATCTTAAGTACTCCTGCTTTGGGGAAGGAAAATAATTTTTCAATATTTTTCATTGCTTAGGTTACTAATTTAAACTTGTAAAACCCTCTTTGACTCCTAAACAAAAACTCAATGTTCTATCTTAATTGAAACAAATTGTAATCAAAATGGATTAAAAGTTTCTAGGATGAAGAAAAAACTAGATAGCTGTCTGTATATTCAATAATTTGCTACATGATAAAAGTAAATTTAGAATATAATCTAACAATTTTGACACTATTCTTTGAAGAAGATTTCTCGTATTTGAGTTGACATTGAATTTGTTTGGGACATTTGTATGAATTCAGGTTTCTGGGCCCCAATTCTAGCGTTTGTTTCTGACTCAGTGGAGTTTTGATGACACCTGGATTCAGTGCTAACAAATCTCCAACTATGCTGGTGGATTGGAGATGTACTTTGAGAACTGGTGGTTTACAATTACCATGGTCAGGAACCTGGCTTCTGAGACTAAGTTAGATAGGTTTGCATTTCACCAGTTCCTATTAATTGCATAAACTTTGGCAAATTATTAGACTCTTCTGCCTCAATTTTCTTAACTGTAAAATGTAATGATCAAAGTAGCTCTTTTCAGGGGCAGCAATGAGTGTTAATGAGTATAAAACACCTTGAACAGTTCCTAAGAGAAAAAAGATCAGTTAAAACCAAATATTATCATCATTGTATTATTTATTTATTAAATTAATTTCTCTATTATTTTACAATTAAAAAACTAAAATTTTTCGTGAACAAAGATGAAGTGTGCTTTAACTTAGAATGATAAACAGGGTTAGTATTTTGATGAGGCATGAATGGAAGTAGGTAAGTCCTTTGGGATGCCTAAAATACTGCAGATTGAATGAGGTGTTAAAATACGTGAGCCACTGGAGGATGACAAAAAGAGTATACAGATGGGAGCAGAGGAAGAATGTCCGTGGAAAGGCATTCTTAACCTGTTGTCTTGAGCTTTGGGAAAGGTTGCGACAATGATATCCGTGTTGGTGTAAGCTGTGGCACACTGCTGCACATTGGACTTGCTTGACAGAGAGAGACCTCTTTTGAGGAAATAGGGTCAAGGCACCATACTGTAAACAATATAATTTGAACATACTCAGCTGAAAAGAGAAGTTCTTGAGAGGCCCCTTGTTATTCAGATTTGAGCATCAAAAACATTGACAGTGGCCTCAGGCTCCATAGACCACAGCTGAGTTTAGCGTAGGCATAGTTTGATAGCATCACCTACCACCAAGGTGTATCTGCCTCACACAGATATGTTTGGTGGACATATCTACCATGAATTGATCATCATTTCTGAGAGTGATCAGAAAGCCCTTCTTTAGAGGGATCACTGATCATGTGTCTTTTAAAAATCTACTTTCATGATGTTCTGTGGTGCAACAAGCATGACAGCCCTAAAATAAGCCCAGATCTCCCCTGGATGGCCTAGGCGCTGACAGAACTGGGAGCTCATCTCTCCTCCTTGTAGTAGAAGTCGCTTCTACATTGAGCTTCCCTCTGGATTGCTTGCTTTTTTCCCCTGCAGAGAGGAACACAACTGTAACCAAGTCCCCAAAGTCACCAAATATTGGCCAAGTTTCCCAAATGACAGCTATGAACAGCTCCCACCCAAAGCCAGTATCTTTTGAGCCCAGAAATTTCAGCACGTTTGTCCTGCTTACTTTTACTTGCTTTCAGGTCTGCTCTGTAATAACAGACAGGAAGAATTCCTACCACCAAAATATTTACTTACAGTGTATCCAGCAGAGTACATAGATCTGGTGTTGATCCCAGTGGCAGCTGGGGGATCAGAAGGCCTGACCCTCTTACTCCTCTCCCTCATCTTTGGCGGTAGCTTTGTTCATCCTGTAACCGTGTGACACATCCGATGATGGCACAAAGAAGCTACCTTGCACACCCATCTCAGGGATAAACTGAGATATGTCTAACTTTCAATACCCTTGCTCTCTCAACAAGTTTCTAGAAGTTACCACCTCATTTCCCACTGCCAGTTTTCTTACTATTCTGACAGGTAATTCTTCATTTTATGGATCTGAATCTATGTAACTAGCTAAGGTATGCTATTATCTCCTCACCTGTCTTAATCCTTGATCCTTTTCTATCATGCTTATTTTGCCAGCATGAAAATCTTGCCTTTTTATAAGGAAGACAATTAAGAAGATTGTGAGCATCAAACCACAAGAAAGTATCATTATTACTGCTGCCTGATAAAGAAACTGATTCTTATTTTACCATTCTGGAAAATTTTAAGGCTTACTTTATGCCCTTATTACACTATAGAGTAGTTCAAATCAGTGACTTGTTATATAGTTAAAAAATTAATACTATAATGATTTTTCAGTTGATTCATTGGTATAAGTATGTTATGTAAATAACACAAATGTAAACACATTACTTAGAGCCCAGAAATATAAAAGTCAGTGCACTGACATTTCTATTTGCCTGAACTTATTACTGTCTCAACTTTGTGGGAGTTAAGAAATCTCTCACACATCCCATACATTTCATGTGATAAAATTTTAGTGTGCATTCAGAATATCTACCTCAGGGGAGAGAGTCTTTGTTGGTTCTGTACCTATTTCAAGTCGCTTAGCTACAAAATATTCCTTCCATATCAGGAAACTGAACATGCATCCATAGGAGTCTTGGAGATAATTCTGTAAAGTATCCTGATGTTTGATCATGCTGACATCCTTCAGTCCTCCCGTGTTACTAAGGACCAAGGCATCCTAGAGGATGGTTGCCTGGCGTTTAACAGATTGTCTTATGTTCCTACAGTTTTTACCTTTTCTAGAAAAGCATTTTCAAAGTTATAGGAATATGGAGTCATGTTATAATGTATATTTAGTCCAAAAATATAGTAACAATCACCTAGACACAAATAGGCACTTGAATATTTACTTTGGATTAAGAAATCTGTATATCTCTGTGAAAGAAAAAGAGGGATGAATCAGATAGTATAAGTTAATTCTATTTCTAAAAACATCAAGGTAAATTTAATTAATTCCACTGTACTGTCATATTCAAGAGAACAGAAGCTCAGGAAATTGAACTTCAGGAAACATTGTACAGGAAATTTTTGTGCTTCAGTTCATCAGCTGGGACAGAATCAAAAGTAATGCACTGCCACCTAGTGGTCAGCATTTACATTACCGGGAATAGATAAAATGTCAGAAGCTGCTGGGGAGAAGAGGTCTTTATCAAAGAAATTTTATATTCTGTCAGAAAAATAGGAGACGAGAATTGTGAATATTCATATCATAGAAAATATTGGAATAAATATGATCACTTTGGATTGGATAACCTATCAGAGAACTGGTTCTTTCTCCGTCAGAAGCCATTGACTTGCCTGTAGCTCTTCATGTAGAGGTGAGACCTTGTGAAATTTCCCCCATCCACATCCACCTGTTAACTGGTGTCGTCATTATGCAGGTCTTTCTTAGGCAGCCATGTTGTTGAGATTTCGTGGGTGCAGCTTCCCTGTCATGCCCAGAAGACACTATCTAGCAGCAGACATCCTGATCTTCTAGCTCTTAAATCTTTCCATTCCTTTTTCCTCGCTGCTCCCTGATCATTAGGGGTAGGGATTGCATTGTAGATGTATCAACTGGAGTTGGGTTAACCGAAGTCTCTGCGTTCTGACCAGTTGTTGAACATTGTAATAGTCTCTATTCCAAAAAGAAGCTTCTTTGACGATTGGTGAGAGCACACTT